TCATTTGAAAGAAAAAAATTGCAGAGAGAGAGAAGGAGAGACTGAGACTAACCCATTCCACCTTCCGGTTCATTGTCTAGTTAGCTGAAATGTCTGTAACCGAGCTGGTCTGATCCCAGGACCTTCTTCCCACATGCGTATGGGGGCCCAAGGACTTGGACCATCCACTGCTTTCCCATGTGTAGTTACAGGAAACTGCATTGGAAGTGGAGCCGCCAGGACTCAAACAGCTGCCTATGTGGGATGCTGGCATCAAAGGCAGAGGCTTAAGATGCTATGCCAAGGCCCTGGCCCCCAATATTGGATCTCTTAAATTTAGTTTCTGTTTTTCTTCTTTCATCCCTCCTTTTTTCTATTTATTGTCCTTCATTTTTCATTCCAAGATATATGTATTTGAGAGGCAGAGTTTGAGATCTTCCATCTACTGTTTTACTCCAACTGGCCTCAATCACCAAGCCAAAGTCAAGATGTTTGAATTCCCTCTGGGTCCCACCTGAGGGTAAGAGGAACCAAAGTACTTGGGCCATCTTCCACTGCTTTCCTGGGTACATTAACAGGGAGCTAGAACAGAAGTGGTACAGCAGGAACTTAAACCAATGCTCTTATGGAATGTTAGTGCCACAGGCGGTGGCTTGGCCAGCTGTGCCATGACACCAGCCCCACTTTTTTTTTTTCCATGAAGATCCTACCCATCTCTGAATAGGAAAATAAAAAATAAATTTAGTCACACTTTTCTTCTCTCTGTCTCACCTGTTTTCCCCAAATTTCTTTTCTTTAGTTAGTTTTGGTTTGTTTTTCCTAAGTCACTTTCCTCAAGTTTCTAATGCTGTTTGGCTGTCTGTCCATTTTGAAGAGCACAGCACTGAAGTCAGCAAGACCTTGTGTGTGCACGGGTTTCTGCTGAGCCAGTCTCCTGCCAGTGTTATGTGGGCAGAGTGGTGGCTTGCATGCTCCTTGGAATCTGGGGACTGTAGGGAGGGTGCAGCCGCTGCATCACTGCATGCTTTACTTCCTGTCACTGCTGTGAGTCTCTATGGCTGCTGCCTGTGACTGTCTGCTGTTTGTCAGGTTCAGCCCTTCCAGAAAGGCACTCTCTGCTCCTCTCTGTTGCTGTGTGTTTTTTGTGCCCTTAATGCCTAGTCATTCTTTCTTATCAGAGTTACATTTTAAATTTTTCTATTCTAGAAGTCTGTTACCACTTTACCAAACTGTTTTCTTTTTGAAAATGCTGATATTTCTCAATTATTTTGCTCTATTTTTTTTTTTTAATTTATGACTTTGGGTTTCAGGAGGGAGCAAGTTCAATATGTACAATGCAGCCCTTTTATAGGGTAAACAAAGGATTACCAATAAGGCTGAAAAATTATTGCTCTCTTATAGTCTTGCCAAGAAACACGGGTACATGAAATTCCCAGTGCATTTCTAATCCCATGAAGCAGTGCTAATGAGAGACCCAGTCTTTTTCCCATTGGAATTAAATTTGCTTGAATTCCTAAATCTGAAAACTAAGAAGAAAACTTGAAAAAATACCTTTTAGTCACATTTATCATTTTCTCTCTTTTTCTGAGAAATAAGGCAGTTTTTCATTTTAAATCATGTTTTTCCTATTACCTTGAAGAATTGGTGAGGAAAATTTGGACAGGATATAGCTTCTGATTAATCTAAATTACCTTAAGTTACAGCAAACCAAGACTCAAATATTTGAATAATTCCCCCAATGGAGCTGCTGAGAAAATTACTGGCTAAATGTGGTACATGTAACATAGAGATACTATTTTTCATTCGTAAGCTTGCTAGCAAGTCCGAAGTATAATATTAAATGTTGCCTGGGGTACAGGGAGTCAAGTGTTCATATATAGCTAGAGAAGAGAAATTGAAGTATTACTTTGGGTGACAATTTGGTAGTGTCTGTTAGAATTGAAAATGTGTTCTTTCATGACCCTGTAATTCCACTTGTCTCTACTCTGGTAAAGCTGTTTATGTGCACAGAAGATATATATAGGAATAATTCCATATTCCATAATGGTTCAATTGGCTAATCCTCCACCTACAACTGCCAGCATCCGTATGGAAGTCAGTTTATGTCCCAGCTGCTCCAATTACCACCCAGCTCCCTAGTTATGGCCTGGGAAAGCAGTAGAGGATGGTCCAAATCCTTAGATCCCTGCACCCACTTGAGAGACTCAGAAGAAGCTCCTGGGTTTGGATCAGCTCAACTCTGGCCTTTGCAACCATTCTGGGAGTGAACCAGTGGATGGAAGAATTTTCTGTCTCACCTTCTCTCTGTAAATGCTTTTCCAATTAAAAAGAAAAATAAACAAAATTTACTTTTTTAAAAAAAAAGTATTTCAGGATGGCAAAAATAATGATCTCTGTGCACTGAAATGAATAAATTTCCAAAAATCAAGTCAAATTTAAGATAGGAAATTATAGTGGTGGATGTTTTGGAACAGAGGCTTAGGATTCTGCATCCCATATCAAATTCCTGGTTCAAAACTTGGCTCCACTTGTGATTCATTTTCTTCATAATGCAAATACCAGGAAGCAGCAGATGTTGGCTCAAGAATTTGGTTTTTGGCCACCCACATGGGAGACTCAGAAAGAGTCCCCAACTCCTGACTTTGGTTTGCCCGAGCCCTAACTATTGCAGCAATTTTGGGAATAAATCAGTGGTTACAAACATCTCTCTCTCTACCTTCCAAATAAAATGAAAATAAATAACAATGCTTTTTTTAAATGTAAGGAATATTACAGAATAATTTAGCACATTTACGTTGGTATACACACATTCACATGTATAAAAGAATACTTCAAAAAGTTCATGAGAAAAACTGAAAAATAAGTGTATTTGGGTGTAAAAAAGGTTGTACATACAAGGGATATTCAAAGAGTTCAGGAAAAATAAATATTTTAAGGAAACTATACATAAGATTCAAAACTTTTTGCACCAAAATAAACTCTTTTAATTCCAATTTCGATGAACTTTGTAAAGTGCCTCATTCATACATATACATGTAATACATATTTCATATATGTACTATTATACATATGATCTAGACACTTGTATACATGTATCTTTGTATGTTTGATTATATATAGCATGTATGCATACATTATGTATATGTAATGTGTAAGTACTGGGGAAGAATCTGGCAGATATGTACCAAGTTGGTGGTGCTGGTTACTTCTAGAAGGGACTAGAATTTCTGCAGGTGTAAGACAGTCAGGAAGATTACGGTTTTTTTTTTTAAGAACGTATTCGTATATAACTTATACAAGTAAAAATAAAGAATATATATGTATATGCATACATACTATTGACCAGTTTAAATAAGCAAAGGATCCTATGAAGTGTACTATTTCCATAGGTTATACCAATGTGACTCAATATATTGTTTGGAAAGCAGCTGTGTTTTATTTAGAAAGCTTCAGTAATAGAGCCCCACCCAATCTACCTCTGCTTCTTTTCTCTTTTTAAATTTTTTTTGAATATTTATTTTTTTTTTTTGTAGTTGAAAACACATTTTTCTTTTTTTTTATTATATTATATTTTTGACAATCCTTACATAGTTAACCAGTCAAAAACATTCAAGGGCTATAGGGAAGTGGGTAAGACCACCATTTCCATATTGTTTCCTTCATGTATCTGAGATAAAGGAGGATATTGAGGAGAAGCCCCATTCAGTTTTGCACCCACCCCAAGTCCTGGATGTGGGGCATGCTCTGAAATACTTGCTCAAGTAGTTTTGATAGTTCACCATTTATGAATCGCTGCCAATCTTGCCACTCCAAGCACTATGCGGTCGTTGAGGAACCCACTGATGGACATAGCTGAGGTGGTTGATTGACATGTTCTGTCCTCTGTCTTTTCATGGCTAGGATTTTGAATATTTATTTTTTTATTGCAAAATCAGATATACAAAGAGGAAGATCTTCTGTCTGTTGATTCACTCTCCAAGTAACTGCAACGACCAGAGCTGAGCTGATCCAAAGCCAGGAGCCAGGAGCTTCTTCCAAGTCTCCCACATGGGTACAGAGTCCCAAGGCCCTGAGCCATCCTCAACTGCTTTCCCAGGCCACAAGCAGGGAGCTGTATGGGAAGTGGAGCTGCCGGGAATAGAGCTGGCGCCCATATGGGATCCTAGTGCGTTCAAGGCGAGAACCTTAGCTAGGCCACTGTGCTGGGCCCTTCTTTTCCTTTTTTAAGATTTTATTTATTTCAAAATCAGAGTTGTATAGGGAGAAAGGGAGAGACAGAGTAAGAGAGGTCTTCCATTTCCTGGTTTACTTTCCAAAAACCCACAGCAGCCAGGGCTGGGTCTCGCTGAAGCCGGAAGATTCTTTCAGGCTTCCCATGTGGCTGCAGAGGTCCAACAACTTGGGTCATCTTTTGCTAATTTTCCAGGTGTGTTAGCAGAGAATTGGATCAGAAGCAGCACAGCTGGGAGTTGGACCTCCATCCATATGGGATACTGACACTGCAGGTGGAAGCTTAACTGGCTAAGCCACAGCACCAATCCCCCCCTCTGCTTCTTTGTGTCCATTTGACACTATATTGGAGCCTATGGCTAATCTGGTTTAGTTGCCAACCACTGATTAAGCCAGTTTCCTTTAATCTTTTTGGTTATGACAACAGGATCTTCCCAATAATTCTGTGAGTTAGACATTCTAATTAATTGCATGGGTAGGAAAATATGTGAAGTCCTGTGATACAACAGGAAGATTCTCAGTGAGCCAGTCTTAGCAGCAGGGGGAAGCCATAGTTCCTAGACATATGCCATGGGCCAAGCTTGCAAGTGGACTTTCCTAAGGCTAGCAGTCTCAGACTTAGTACATCAAGGCTTCTGCACAGAAGCTTTAATCTCCATCAAATCAAGAACTGTTTTTAATGTGCAAGTTGAATGATAAAATTTCACGCATAGCTTGTTGAGATATCAAAAGCTGAGACAGTTTGCTTCCTATGTCTTGTAATGCTTTCTTTCTCTTTGACTACATTCCAGGACAATATAAAAAATCTTGAATTGGAAGTCATCAATCTGCAAAAGGAAAAAGAAGAATTGGTTCTTGAACTTCAGACAGCGAAGAAGGATGCCAACCAAGCGAAGTAAGAAGTCAATGGATATTAAGTGTCTATTGAGTGCAAAAAGTTTAGATGAAGTTGAGAAGGCTCTTCTGGCTGTCCCAGGTTCTAAACCTAGTGTGGAGAGGAGATCTAAGTACAAATAAAGTTAAATAATTGAGATGTTAACTGATGTACTAAAGGTGGCAGTAACAGAATGCCATAACACAGCAATTGAGGCAATTCAGGCTGACATCATCAAGGAAGGCCATATGAAAGGTTAAGTTTGCTGGCTTTAGAGATTATCACATCTGCTATAGGACAGCAGTTAATTCTTTGCTTGGGAGCCTGGGTTCAAGTCACAGCTTCCTGGTGATACATGCCCTGGAAGACAACAGCTGATGGCTCAAGTAAACCATTTCCTACCACCATGTAGGAAACCCAGATTGAATTACAGACTTCTGATTTCAACCTGACCCAGTGATGGTTCTTTTGGGAATTTGGGAAATAAACCATCAGATGGAAGATCTCCTTTCTCTGTCTTTCAAATAAATAAATAATTTATTGATACTTCAAAAGTAAATTTAATAATTTTTAATTATCATACAAATCAATGGTGATATTTGTCAAAGGGCAATCCACCAGCGCTCTGCCCTCTTATTGTGATTTTCCAAAAGGTATGCAAGTGTTCCCACATTCATATTTTCTAACTAAAGCATTGAAAAGATCTTTTAAATTTTTAAAATTATTTCTTAACAGATCAATATTGTTTGTAGGTAAAAATTCTAAAAATACGACATTCCCTTCTTCCGTCCTTCCTTCCCACTGTTTCTTCTCCCTTTCTTTTTTTAGTTTTTTAGATAGCATGCTTTAAACTTAAGGTTTAATATCTTCACTCAGGAAGGAGTTTGCTAAAAACAGACTCTTCAATTTTGTGGGAATATAGGCAATGACTATAAACAATAATTGAATGGAAAAAAATGACTACTTGACCTGCATACAGCAAATGTAGTCACAGATCACCAGAACAATAGTATCATTCTTAACCACTGATCTGACAAAGGCATAAAAAATGTCTCATATATATATATATATTTACAGCAATACTGATACAGGCATTTTTTCTTTTTAAATTTTGGCTTCTGTGTATAAGGAAGAAAATGTGGTATTTGTCTTTCAGGATCAGGTTGTTTCAGTCAGTTGCATCCATTTTGGTGGAAATGGTGGAATTTCATTCTTTATAGTTGACTAATATTTTATTATGTATAGACACCTCATGGTCTTTATCCATTCATTTGATGATGAACACCTTGGTTGATTCCAAGGTTTGGTTGTTGTGAAAAGTGCTGCTATAAATACCAGAACTATAGTATCATTCTTAACCACTGATCTGACAAAGATGTAAAAAAAATGTCTCACATAGATATATTTACAGCAATACTGATAGAGGCATTTATTTTAGCTTGTCCTTTCGAGTGTCTCTTTCCTTAGCTGTGCAAAAACTTCTGAATTTGATAGTCTTGTTTAGTTTTACTTTTGTTGCCTTTTCTTTGGGGATGTTGTCTAATAAGTTGTCCTCTATTGTCCGTGTCTTGAAATTTTTCCATTACATTCTTCCAGCAAATTCATAATCTTGGGGTCTTAAAATAGGTGCTTATATGGTGAGAGGTGTGGATCTAATTTTATTCTTGTTTTATTCCGTTATGGTCTAAGATAAATGGTATGATTTCAGTCTTTTTCTGAAACTTGATTTGTGGCACAATATGTGATCTCTTCTAAAAAATACTTCATGTGCTGATAGGAAGAATGTGTGAAATGTCCTGTAAATTTCTGTTAGGTGCATTTGCTGAATATCATGTTTCAGCTCTGATATATCTTTATTGGATTTCTGTTAGGTGGATGATCTTTTCATTGATGGCAGTAGAGGTTTGAGTCACCCACTGTTAGAATGGTGAAGTCTGTCTTTCCCTTTACTGTCAACAGTATGCATTAGAGATCTTTTTTTGGTTAAGTTGGCTTGGGGTTCTTCGTGCTTCTTATATCTGAATATCTATGTCTCTCGTTCAAGACCTGGGAAATTATCAGCTGTTGTTTCATTTAACAGGTTCTCAACTCCTTTTTCCCTTTTCTTCTCTTCCAAAAATACCTGTAACATAGATGTTTTGTCATTTCTTTATTTTCATTCTTTTTGTTTTGTCTGATGGATTACCTCTAGTTGAGACATCCTTTTCTCCACTTGGTCTAGTTTGCTGTTAAAGCTATCAATTGCATTTATTTCACTGATTGAAAATTTCAGCTCCAAAATTTATTCTTCCTTTTTTTAAGGTTCATTTTTTAAAAATGTATTTGGAAGTCAGAGTTACAGAGAGAGGGAGAGACAAAGAAATTTCCCATCCTCTGACTCACTCCTCGAATGACTGCAGTGGCTGGAGCAGGCCTAATACAAAGCCAAGAGCCTGTTTGGGTCTCCCAAGTGGATGCAAGCACCTCAGGCATTCTCCACTGGTTCCCCTGGCTTTCCATGGCACTGGCCCCTGTTTGGTTTTTCTTAATGAATTATGTTTCAGTGATATTTTCATTCATGTCACTTATCATGCTTCCTTACAATCACTGTTTTCAATTCTATCTCTATCATTTCATAGACTTCCTTTAATTCAGAATTCTGGAGGTTTATTGTGTTTTTTAGAGATGTCTTTATGTTTCCTGTGTCCCTATATTGATGTATATACATCTGGAATAATCACTCCTTTCTTATGAAGTAGATTTTAATGGGAAAAAAGTTTATGGAATGAAGCGTATCTCTTGGCTTGTAGCTTTGGCTCTAGGAGTGCCCAAAGTCTCTGAGTTATTTCTTTTGTCTTAACCAGTAGTATCTGTAAGTGACATGGTGGTCTAGTCAACTGCAGCTAGTAGGAATATAAGTGTAGTTTTGAATGAATATAGTTTCTTAGGTATGCATCTTGGGCTCACAGAGTCTGGTATCTGGTGATTGTGATGGCCAGGGCTTTGTTCTTGGTGCTAAGACAAAGATGGCTATCCTCTTTTCTTGCAGGCAAGCCTGAGTGATACCAGGGCTTGTGACACTAGGACTGTGGCTCTAGGACTGGTGGATGAGATGGCCCCTTCCTTAGATCCTGCTGGGAGAGTGAAATTGTTGCTGTGGCTTATCACACCAGCAACCCTAATCTTAGGACTAGGAATATGAACTAAATTCTGCTTCAGTTCTACAGAGTGGCTACAAAGTATATACGAGATTTTGTTCGGGAGGGTTTGAATTCTGAGAAGTGGAATGCAGGCACGTTCTTCCCTATGTTCATTGAGTAGTTTGCAGTGGCACTGAGAAATTTAGAACTAGTTGTTATAGTCCTGATGCTGCAGGATATAGCAGGATCATTATCTAAGTCTCCTAAGGTAAGAGAAGATTTTTTTTATGGGCTGCTTCTGGTGTTAACCCCCAGAGGCGGTGAATCAGCCGGGCTCAGGTGGAGTGTGTGAGTGTAGCTCAGGGGCTAATGCCCCAAACTCCCAGAGCTGCAGGATGCAGGGAATCTGTCCTTTGCCCCACACATTGCCCAGACTCTGACTCTGATGCTGGTAGGAGCAGAACAGAGGCGTGCTGCTCTACTTTTTGCTGCCAGGTTTGGTGCTGTGCGACAGCAGTGCAGGGGAAGGAAGTTTCTCTGCTCTGAGCCCAACTGTTGCTCAGAACCCCGGCACTCCCCAGGCTGAAGTAAATCAGTACATGACTCTGCAATTCCCTCTTTGCTAAAACTGCAGGTAGTGGGGCGTACAGTAGTGCCTTCCTACCTCGATCTGGGAAGATAGCAGCTCACAGATGGCTCTTGTACCACGGAGTCTTCATTTTGTTTTGTTTTGTTTTCACTTGCTGCTGCAAATTCCCAACAGAGTCCTGGAAAGGTGGTCCTTCCTTTGTTCTCGGCCTATCCCAGAGCATCTGGAGTTAGTGTACCTACACCTTACTCAGCCACCTTGGATTCCCATAAAGAATTTTAAAATAAACAAATCATCATCCTTTAATCAGCTAAGGACAAAACCAAGGCAGATATCTAGAATAATCTACTCTTCCTTCAACGTTTATAACAACTATTCTACCTTCCCTTTTACTCAGTGGACTCTTCTCTGCTGACTCTAAAGCTCATGTTCTTCAAAATTGTGCTGGATGTTTACTTTATGCTTCTCACTTGTACAATAAACAGAATTATTACTTACAGCTGAAATGAAACAAAATTCCCTCAAAGAACCATCCTTTCCTTAGAATGGTAGTAAAGGACACAGGTATTAAGGCACTTTGCATTGTTACATGCTCAGGGGAAAAAAATCGTTGCTTTACTCTTATGCTAAACCCCTGTTGTTGAGACAGTTTGGGCTAGCTGTGTGATGAATGGCTAGCTCTGTGACTAGTAACCTATGGATTGTGAGCCTGGGAATGTAGCATTTTGCCTTTGCTGCTGGTATTGGTCATTCCCACAGCCTCTGTGTTTAGGTTGAGCGAGCGCCGCCGCAAACGTCTCCAGGAGCTGGAGGGTCAAATAGCTGACCTGAAGAAGAAACTGAATGAACAGTCCAAACTTCTGAAACTGAAAGAATCCACAGAGCATACTGTCTCCAAACTAAACCAGGAGATACGGGTAATGAACTCACATCCCATTCGAACTTAGTAAAAGCATAGTCATTCTACTTAAAAATTATAATACAGAGGTGTCTTTGGGTGAGAAAACAATCAGAAGAACAATTATTTCAAGTGTGTGAATCACCATAGATGTTCCCTTTGCAGGACACTGTGCTGGATGTCATCTAGAATCTGAATAATTAAACCCCACTTTGGCATTCAGAGTTTGATATTAGCTTCTCTGAAACCAAAGTATGAAGACATCTCAGTGTTTAATGCTGATGTTCTGATCAGCTTGCATGGTCATGTGGAATGATTTTATAAAGTAGCTAGCAAGGTGACAGACATCTAGAAAAAATTATTGGTTATTGAATGTTCATCTTTTCATATCTGTCATGTGATTATAAGCTGCTTGCACTGAGAGTTATGAAATATGGTGGTTGCTAGTTAGACTTGGCCCTTATGATCAGTAGATACTTCTGTTATGTTTCATTTTATATACTGTGATTTTACAGCAGAATTCAGCTTATGGGTACATTTTCTTTGATTTGTTTTTTTTATATTGCTAATTTTGTGTAGTCCAGGCTGAGAAACCCTGTGCAACCATAGCAAGAAATACTATAAGCCTAATCAGGAAACCTTCTCAGATTAGCTCTGGATTTTCTCTCTTATTGGTGTGCCTGTCCAGGTATACATCAACCTTGAATAAAATGCAGATGACTAATACTTGTACTGGTTTTTTGTCTTTGCAGATGATGAAAAGCCAGCGAGTACAGTTAATGCGTCAGATGAAAGAGGACGCTGAGAAGTTTAGACAGTGGAAACTACAAAAAGACAAAGAAGTAATCCAATTAAAAGAACGAGTAAGTAAAATTTTCAAAAACTTATCTAATATGCCCCCCTTCACATACCTCGTATCTTTTTTTTTTTAAAGAATTTTTCACCCTATGTTTTCTTTCTTTTTTTTTTTTTAAAGATTTATTTTTTTATTTTTATTGGAAAGGCGGATATACAGAGAGGAGAGACAGAGAGGAAGATCTTCCATCCGATGATTCATTCCCCAAGTGAGCGCAACGGCCAATGCTATGCCGGTCCAAAACCAGGAGCCTCTTCTGGGTCTCCCACATGGGTGCAGGGTCCCAAAGCTTTGGGCCATCCTCGACTACTTTCCCGGGCCACAGGCAGGGAGCTGGATGGAAAGCGGGGCTGCCGGGATTAGAACCGGCGCCCATATGGGATCCCGGGCATGCAAGGAGAGGACCTTAACCACTTGCGCCACTGCGCCGGGCCCCCACATACCTCGTATCTTGAAAAATATATAACAAGTTCATGACTTTCACAGCTCCATATTAGATACCTGCTGTGTACAAGGGACTTCCTACTTGGTACCATAAGGACTAGAAAGATGAGCAGCATGTGAGTGAGTGCTTCTCTTGGAGAATGGCTTATCTAAAAGGCAAGGAAGGCATAGCATGAATTTCTAAAATGCAAGGAATAAAGAAGTCTAGGGGGTGGTTGTTTGGCCTAACAGCAGAGACGCTGATGTTTCCATTGGCAGAGTGCATGGGTTCCATACCCACCTCCGTATCCTAACTCTAGCTTCCTGGCAGCATAAATCCTGGGAGGTAGCAGTGATAGCTCAAGTAACTGGATTCTTGTGATCCACAAGGGAGACCTGGCTTGAATTCCTGGCTTGCAGCCTCATTCCTAGCCCTTCCCAGCTGTTGTGGACATTTGGGGTGCTGACTAGTAGATGGGAGCATTCCTGCTGTCTGTCTTTTTTCTCTGTCTCAACTACTCAAATACATGCATAATTTAAAAAAAGAAAGATCTGGGCTATCGGAATGATATAAAATAACTAAGAGAAGTGAAAACATTCTTTTAATGGGAACGAAAAGTGATCATCACTTCCTTATACATTGAATACATGTACTGAGTTATCACATTGTACCATAAATATGTACAATTAAAATAATGGAGTTTTAAAGAGTGATATCTGAACAAGCCCTGAATCATAGGGAGAAATTTTTTTCACTATATATATATATTTTTGATTTTTTGAATTATGCGGTACAATTTAATATAGACTGGGATTTCCCCCCAAACTTGCACCCCCAACAGGTTTTCCCCATTTTACTACACTGGTATACTCTTTCATAAGGAATCATAATTCCGTCAGTCTCTTATTTAAGTTTACACCGACATTGCTGGTACAGACAATGTCAGACAGTCCAGCATCCCATTGTCTGTACAGGCCCAACAGTTTCATTGGGAATCCATCTTTCGTCTGGAAGCAGGGATGCATGTTGCATTATACCCCCACATCTGGATATGGTAGACCCCAGTACTCCATCACTATACATTGTCATAATTGAGAAGCCATGAAACAAGGTCAACAACTGGTATGAGTTAGAACAACAGCCACAACAACAATAATAAAAACAACATCAACAACAAATTACAGCACCATGAAAAAATGCACACTGAGTAACCAACACATGGGTGGAAAAAAAAAAAAAACAGTATGGACCAGATTATTGAAGTTATACTTGCCATGCTGGTTTCCTTATCTAAGAGAGAACATGTGGTATTTGTTCTTTTGTGATTGACTCATTTCAGTGAGCGTAATGGTCTCTTCCTGGGACCACCTGGTTGTTTGTACCGCAGTTTCTTTAACCACTCTTCTTTGGACGCACATCTGGATTGTTTCCATGTCTTTGATATTATAGATTGTGCTGCTGCAAATATAGGATTACAGATCCCCTTCTCGTATGCAGATTTCATTTCTATTGTGTATATTCCTAGCAGCAGGATAGCTATGTCATATGGCAGATTTATTTGCAATTCTCCAAGCACTCTCCATACTGACTTCCACAGTGGTTGTATTAGCCTACACTCCCACCAGCAGTGAAGGAGGGTGCCTTTCTAGTAGGGAGAATGTTGAAGGAGAGAAGTATAGGCATTCCTGATGGAAGGGAACAGTAGAAGCAAAAATATAGAAATGGTAACTTTGAAGCTGTATTCAGAGGAAATGGCAAGTGGTCCAGGTGAATTGAAGAATAGTAAGAGAAAATTCTGTTAAAGGCAAATTGAAGCTGCACTCTTAAAGATGCCAAGAACGTTGAAGCATGTTAGTAAACATTTTTAATGTTCTTTTGAGAAAGTGAAATCAGCAAAATACTACTTTAGAAAGATATACCTAGGAATAATTTGTAGAATAAAGTAAAGTATTGAGAACCTGGAGTCTAGAACATAAGAAAATATACTGTGTGATCAAGAAAATAATTGGCGCCTGAATTTGAGTAGGGACAATGTTCTTGGAAAGAAAAGTCATGTGGGAATAGTCTTATGAGAAATGGCCAAAATATAATATGTTGAGTCAGGAGCTAAAGAAAGGAAAAGCACTTTCCAGAATGGCAGCTCAGAGTTTCATGGACTCTCTTCCCAGAAAAAGTCACAACTGGTGGCATTTATTTTTAAAAATAGTTATTTAAAGTCTCTGGAAACTGTCTTAAGGGCACACAACAAATGGACAAACATTTATTCCAGAACATCTACTGAATCTTGTTAAGAACAACAAGTATCTAGGTCAGTTGAGTTCCAGCCAACCTCATTTCCCTCAACCACCAGCTTCCAGTCTGTGACTGGTTTCTTCCTAGTAAGAACAAGCCTGCAACATACATCAAGCCCTCAAGTTCTGTGTTATTAAAGCCCTATTTCAAGCAAGAACACCTCAGAAGTCTGGCAGTCACTTCTTCCCTGGAGTATGGCGCAGCTCCACGCATGCAGCAGAAGGCCAGGAATACCTCAAGCCCACTTAATCATAGGCTGTAGATTCTGTGTCAGGAGAGGTAAGCCAAGAAAAATGGGGTATGCTGGTTCCAGCCCCAGGTTCCGAGCAGTGATGCGTAGATTTTACCATCAGAGGAGGCAGGCCATAGGAGACAATGTCTCTGAGAGATACAAAATTTAGGAAAGTCCAAACATAAATTTACTGACTAGAGCAATGTCGATTTTGCTAGTGGACAACTAAGAGGAGATCAGTAGCCCTAAGAGAATAGTAAATGAAGCAGCGATGAAAATATCCCAAGATTTAGTGGCTGCAAACTTTCCAGATTTGATGAATAGTGTGAATGTGTGCATCCAAGAAACTTGGTGAGGTCCAAGTAGGATACATAGAGAGATCTGCAGCAAGCACATCACAGTCAAAATGTTGAAAGACAAAGACAAAACATTTGAAAGCCCCGAGAGAACAATTCATCATGATAAAAATCAATAGCTGAAATCTCATCAGGGATAACGGAAGACAAAAGGCAGTGAGATGACATACCCAGAATGCTGCAGTAAAAACTGTCAGCCAAGAAGGTTATATACAGTAAAGCTGCCTTTCAAAAATGAATGCAAAATGTATTCCCAGATAAACACCAAGAGGATGTATTACCAGCAAACCTACCTCGTGAGAAATTCTGAACGAACTCCTCTAGGCTGAAAACAAGTTATGCCAGACGGTAGTTTGAATCAGCACAATAATAAAAGGAACAAAGGGTACCGTAAAGGTGATTACATAGGCATTCTAGAAGAGAATATAATTGCACATTCCTTCCCCTTCTCTTTGCAGTAATCACAGAAACTAGTATGCACGCAATAATGCACATACACATATCTGATTCTTTTGATGGGCCTATAACATAAAAATGTAATGTATGATGGTAACAGCTCAGAGAAGGTGGGTGCGAGCAAAGCAGTTTTTCAGTAAGGAAATGCTATCAGCCGGTACTGTGAATCTGTAGGAAGAAATGAACGAGAAAAGGTAAATAAGAAAGTCAGTATAACAAACTGTAAATATATACTTATTCTCTTTTATTCCTTCAGCTTACTCAAAAGACAGAATATGAAGTAATAACTTTAATAATATGTTTTGGGGTTATGTATTGATATGTTAACAATGGTACAAAAAGGGAAGAAGATGCAGAGTTACATAGAAATAAATGTTTCTATATTTCTCTGGATTTAAGTTTGTATAAATCTGAAGTAGATTCTAATGAGTTCAGATGTTTACTATAAACAATAGAGCAGTCACTATGAACATAGCTCAAAAGATGCAGTAAATGAATAATTGAAGTGTTAATGTGTTAAACTGGAAATATTTGCTTAAGGTAAAATGAAGCAGAGAAGGAAAAAACAGAAAATATGAGACATATAGGAAACAAAAGGCAAATGTGAAAATGTGAAGTTACCCATATCAGTAACAACAGAGGTTTAAGCAGGACAACCTGTTTGATGAAATTGGCTGGTTCCCACTTACCCCCAATAACCCTAAAGCTAAAGCAGAAGAATTTTGCAGGCAAGTTCCAAATGATTCTGGCTACAAATACCTAAAGGACTAGCAAGAGAAGAATTCAAAAGAAACAAAACTGCCATTGAAGAGGACACAATCTTAATGATTGCTCAAAGCAATATACAGCTTAAGAGTGTGGGGGAATAAAACACTTGATTGAGCAAAAATCATAATGATGACATTGTGCTGAAGGATTTTCAAAGTCTTCATGCGTTTTATTGAGTTTAGGCCTCACAATAGACAATCCAAAGCCAAATAAAACTGTATACAATATTTGGGCAAAATAACAGAAGATGGGGTGTAGTATGTCATAGAAAGCAAAGAAAAGTTTATCAAACAGTCACCTTATCACTGCAAAACATACTCTGAGGGTTTTCTTGTTTATTTGTTTGGGAAGTCAGATTTACAGATAGAAGGAGAGACAGAGAAAGATCTTCACCTGTTGATTCAGTCCCCACATAGCCACAGTGGCTGGAGCTGAGCTGATCCAAAGCCAGGAGCTTCTTCTGGGTCTCCCATGCAGGT